ATTGCATCGTGCCGCGTAAACATAAAACTCTGTCTGCATTTGTGATCAGAGAAATGACAAACAACAAGTGCTACTTTACTCAAAACTCGCGTTTGAATCATCAGTGGCCAAGAACTTGTAACACTCCAAAGAGAAAGGAAAAATTGAAATCGCATCATATGACCCCTTTAAACAAGCCTTTTTTGCTACTCGTCTTTTAAAGTCATAAATTGACATTTTTAAACTATTTTACTTCCATAATGTGACATATTTCCAAGTGAAAGAATATTTTAATGGGGGAAAAAGGAAAGGAAGGACATTTTATAATGTTTGTCAAGGTTTCTTGAACCAAAAACAGTCATAATTAAGTTTTTATGACCATTTTTAACTCTCTCTCTGACCCTTACAATTGAGCTTATTTTGCTACTGTCCTAAATGTTATGGAAGGCCGTTTCTGCAACGGAATAAAAAGAAATGAAAAGGTAAGCTTCTCACAGTTCTGAGTTCATATCAGAATTGTGACAGTCAGAATTGTGAGATAAAAAGTTGCAATTACCTTTTTTCTCCCCCATACATTTTAAAGTAAAAAAACGACTTCCATTTCCAAGTGAAAGAATATTTAATGAGGAAAAAAGGTAGGGAAGAACTTGACTATTTATCATGACAACTCTATCATGACAAACCGTGGGCTTGTGAAATATTCAGTGCAGAGCTTTTAAGAGGTCGGAGAGCACCGCTGGAAATGTGCAGGTACTAGCCTATCAGCTGCACAAAACCAGAGGAAAATTTAAACGTGGATTCTTCTATGCAAGCTCGATTTCAGTCGGTGGTTGATCGAAATGTCACATTGCGTTATTAACAGAGCTCTAAGCATGTTCTGCCTTTTGAGGCACTATAGTGACAATTAACGTCTCTTCTGCTCACCAAGGCTGTACAGTATTTAATAAAAAATACAGAAAAAAACAGTAATATGAAATATCATTCCAATTCAAAATAACTTTTCCATTTTAATATATTTTAAAATGTAATGTATTCCTGTGATGCAAAGCTGAATTTTCAGCATTATTGCAACAGTCTTCAGTGTCACATGATCCTTCAGAAATCATTCTAATATGATGATTTGCTGCTCAAGAAACATTTCTTATTATTATCAATGTTGAAAACAGTTTTGCTGATTAATATATTTATATAAACCATGATTCTTTGATGAATTGAAAGTTCAAAAGAACAGCATTTATATGAAATAGAAATCTCTTGTAACATTATAAATGTCTTTACTGTCGCTTTTGATCAATTTAACGTGTTCTTGCTGGATAAAAGTATTTCTTTAAAAGAAAAAAAAATCTTACCGACAGGTAATTTTGTTACTAAGTTAGGTAATATTGTGTCCCACATTGAGTGCACCCAATTTGACCTTCCCTTGCCAGTGTGACAAATGAGCCCGAAGTAATATCACCTGCAATTTTAAACTATTATGTTTTGTAACAAATCTTTTATCGGACTTCCAAGATTTTTGTACACACAACATTTTTATGCATAATTGAGTTAAAAAAGCTTTTAGTTTCTAAGGCAACCAATTCAAAGCATGGCATCCAGTTATCTTGCATGTAATGGTGTCATGTGACAACAATGTTGCATACTACTTTTTTAAACCTTTAGCATACAGCGTACTGTTTTACACACACACATACATACATACGGTATATATATATATATATGTATATAAAGAGAGAGAGAGAGAGAGAGGTACTATTCAGTATACTGTGCAGTATGCACTAATATTCCATTTAGAACACAGACAAGCATCTCTGACAACAGAACTTTTCTAAAATGCCACATTTTCTGTATGGTGCTCATGAGCTGCATCTCTTCATATGGCTATAACTGTGTCTGTTTTGTATGTTTTAATAAAAGCCTTGCATATGTTCACAGATCTTGCTCTGTTTTCTCTCCTGTCTTGTAATCGGAGTCACATGTGCAGTACAGTCAGGTGGAGGAAATGGTTTCTCATCTCAGTGGAGGGTTCCGGATGATTTGAGTGAGGGTGTGTGTCTTGTTGGGAGGAGTTGGTGTGTGTGTGTGTGTGTGTGTGTGTGTGTGTGTTTGAGGGGTGTGCAAGGAGGGTGATAGGGCAGAAAACTTTTATCTTTAACTCACCACCCGTCAGAGTTGGCGCTGTAAATGTATCACTTTTATACACTCAGAAGTGTATTTGTACTCTTCGTGACCTTCGTGAATGTTATTGTTCTTTAGAATAATTGTACTTAAAAAAAAAAAAAGTACTTAATTTGTTTTAAAAGTACTTCATTTGTTTAATTTGAAGTAGGTTATTCTTTTGTGCATCAGAAACATGTAGACCAGAATTTGCACCTCCAAAAAGGTAAGACAATTTATGATTTGACTTTAATTTATTATTCATTACGATTATTTTTTATTTTATTATTATATTTTTATAATATTTTTAAATAGCATCATGAATTTTTCGTAGATGGTCCATCATTAAAGATGGGTGTATTCACAGCAATTTGGCAGCTTTCATAAACGGAAACCAAAAATAGCCATAATCAGCATGTGGCCAGTGATGCATCAATTCTGGCCATAAGAATGAGCAGGTTCCCTTTCATACAGAGCGACATTTAACTGAATGTGTCAGCGCTGATGATAACAGTCGTTCATTACAAACCACACAGAATGCTGAGAGGAGATGTGCTTAACCTCAACTAACTCATTCACCACTATCAACAGAGTTCAGAATGGAGGAGGAGGGTCTTTAAGGGGAAATTAGGAGAAATGTGGAACAGAACTGTGGATATTTTGAGTTTGCCGGAACAGAGGAGAGAAAAACAGCGATGACAGTCGTAAGAGTGGCCTTATGCTTTCTGATGATTCAAAGCATCTTTAAAGGTCAGTTTCAAACAATTAATCACACTCTTCAAATATATTTTCAAATACACAGTCACAAGAGATTTGAATAAAATTATTTAATCCTTTAATTAATACAATTATGTAATTATTAATTGACAAAACTGTTATTTTAATGTTATATAGTGTGCACTGTGCATTAGTTTATTTGCAGTAGATCCAGTGGGGCCCAGAAGTCCAAGAGTGATTTTTTTTTTTTTAATTACAAATGATATTATCAGAATAACTATTACTGTGAATTAGGTTTATTAAAATAAAATGAACATGATTTTGATAAAGTATTTGGTTTGTCTTTTGCTTTAACCAGTTGATCATGATTTGAGATGTTCCTTGAGTTTCACTGAAAATCTTACTGTCTGAAATGTCACAAATCTTCCTAGAAATTGTGTAGAATTGTATATATTTCTTCTTTTAAATGTATAACTTATTTTTACATGTTTTATAAAAAAATCCCAATTGTTAATGTTATATATACAGTAATATGAATGCATAAATATTATAAATGACAAATTATGCTATTCAATATCTTTAAAATACTTTTAAATATATAATATTACAGTCATGCATATCTAAAATTATGTAAATATAACATTTTAGAATTTTGCATGTCAGCATTCTCATTTCAAAATGAAAATGTTAATCAAGGATTATCACTATCTTCCTTAGATATAACAATGAATGTTAGGTTTTATAAACCTAAATAAATAAAACTATATAATGCTTAAATATTATACATTACACATTAAACTAAAATTAAACTATTTTATAATGTTAAAGTAATGCACATCCCAAAAAGAGGCTTAAAAAATCTGGTTTAATAAAGCCCAGATTTTTTATATATTTTTTAATTTTATGTATATAGTAATATGAATACTTAAATGTTATGCATTACACATATAAATATCTTTAAAATAAATATTAATCTTATATACTGTATTATTGAAGTAACATGCATTTAAATAATTGTAAATCTAACATGCTAGAAGGATGCATGTCAGTATGTATTTTTATTTTAAATTGGAAATGTTAATCCAGGTTTTTCACTCTTCTCCTCAGATATAACAGTGAAGGCAGACACAGTGGATGTTTGTGCCTCTTGCCATCAAAACGCTACCTGTAATGATAAAACTGATGGATCTGGGGGGAAAGTGTGCAACTGCATGTATGGATTTGTTGGCAACGGGAGGACCTACTGCCAAGGTTTGATTATCCTTAGAACTGTTTAATAGCTGAGCATACCTTTTTGATTGATAAACTTATATTTTATATTTGTTTTAATACAGATAAAGATGAGTGTCAGCTGGGTAAAATCTGTGGCGATCACACCAAGTGTCAAAACACGTACGGCAGCTATTACTGCACCTGTCTCGCAGGCTACAGCCCATCCAATCACATGAACACATTCATACCCAATGATGGAACGTACTGCCATGGTGAGTTTTCATTTCAGGAAATGAGTGCATTTGTAGAGCTGTGTCACTCGAGCTCCATGTCTTCCCCATAGTTGTTGTTTCCTGACTGAAACACAGGAGGTGCAGAGATGTTGCAGGAAGGGTGTGAACATGGTTTTGCAAGTTATATATCCTGAATGGCTTAATATGTTAAGTTCTGCAAAACGTATTGCTCAACTGTGGGTAAACAATGTTTAATGGGAGTTGCTTCAAGTGGAATGTGTCAAAATACATTAAAGGAGAAGTCACACTAAAAACAAAATTTTATAACTTTAACCATGTATTGCTTCGACTTAATTATCATAATCTTAGATAGATTGATGTATTTATTTATTTATTTATGTGGCCCTAAAATGCCTCATAATAGATCCCGTTATGACGATTTCAGTAGGAAATATAGCTGCAAGCAGCAATTTTGGGGCCGAGCCAAGCCCATCAAACACATAAAGTTGGATTGGTTGGAGCATTATGGTGATTCTTTTTGCCAAAGTGGTTTGAAACGAAATGAGCAGAATTACTTAAAGGGGTCAAATGATGCAATTTCAAGTTTTCCTGTCTCTTTGGAGTGTTACGAGCTGTTCGTGCATAGATAAGATCCCTAAAGTTGCAAAGACTAAAGTCTCAAACCCAAAGAGATATTCTTTATAAAAGTTAAGACTGGTCCACGCCCTCCTAAAACGCCTCGTTTAAACACGCCCCCACATGTCTACGTCACTGTGTGGGAAGATTTGTATGACACCGCCCAAATGTACGCAAAGAAAGAAGGCATAACTTTGATTCTTGCTGTAGTATTGTTGAGGCCGCCGCCATGTCGTGGAGATGCTGTGTGTTTCGTTGTGAAAGCGAAACTACTTTGTCTGGCGCCAGGACACGGCATCACAGTATGGTAAGGGGCGTAACATTTCCGTGACACGCTTGAGGTATTCGGCCAATCACAACACACTAGATCGCTGGTCAATCAACGTACACCTCGCTTTTCAGACCGATGAGCTTTGTAAAAATTGATGCGTTTCAGAAAGGCGGGGCATAGAGGAGAAACAATAATGTACAGTATGTGGAAAATAATTTGTTTTTTTAACCTTAAACCGCATAAACACATTTCATTACACCAAATACGCAAAATAATGTTCTTTTTAGCAACATCACCCCCTTTAAATGACCCCTTTAAAAAAAATCTAATTTTTATATTTCTTGACCAGTAGGGGGTTTTGAAACTACATGGAACTGTCAGGTTATGCTTGTCATGACTGGTACCAAATTTTGTCTTAATATTTGCAAGTGTTGCAGAGATATAGTCTCATGTTCACTTCGGCATGCACGTCATCAAATTTATGAAGCCATTTCTCAGGAGTGATTTTGAATATTGAATAAAATCAAAGTCATAACTTCCTTTCTGCTCAGCCTAAATAATCTGAGCAAAATTTGGTGAGATTTGAAATTTTTATATAATTTTAAAAACCATTTTAGTACCTTCAAAGCATGATATTGATGACACATACCGAATTTTGTAATGATATGTCAATGCATTCATAAAAATATAGCATTTTATGACAAAATTATAAATGGTCGATGCCCAAAATGGCCAGCGATGATATCAAATGAAAAATTGGCATGTCGAACGAATCTAAAGAGACCAGTCTCATTATTTTTTGGTCGAACCTTTAAGTTATGAGCAAAAATATGCTTTTTTTATACCTCATGACCAGTAGGTGGCGCTGTGCTGAAAATGTGCAGGTACCTTCTGGTTGTGGTTATAATGAGACACACCAATTTTGGTTTAAGTACACTAAAGCAGGGGTTTTCAAACCTGTCCTGGAGGACCCCCAGCACTGCACATTTTGTATGTCTCCAACATCAGTCACACCCAGTTCAGTCTTGCAGTCTCTGCTAATGAGCTGATGAGTGGAATCAGGTGTGTTAGATGAGGGAGACATACAAAATGTGTGGAGCTGGGGGCCCTCCGGGACAGGTTTGAAAACCCCTGTGCTAAAGCATTGCGGAGATGTAGCCTCACGTCCACTTTTACGTGCTCACCGTCAAATTTGTGAAATAATTTCTCGGGAACGATTCTGAATATAGAAAAAAAGAGAACTTTTATCAGCTCATGATAATCTGAGTAAAAGTTGGTGAAGACTGGACAAAATTTGTAGAAGAATTGAAAAAACACAGCTTGTTAAAATTCAAAATGGCGGGAATTGTAAACGTGGTATGCAGTTAGACTCCGCATGATCTCCCCTGTGGGTCTCGTCCCCTAATAATGTTGAACAGGCAGCACATTTCTCCTCTCACTTCATGATGTTGTTTTTGCATGTAGATATAGATGAGTGTGGCGTGCAGGGGGGCTGTGGTGAAGGAGGTCTCTGTCACAACACAGAGGGAGATTTCACCTGTTCCTGTCAGACAGGTTACACAGTCCAGTATGGGTCAGAGCCCTTTAATCCATACCGGGATGCGGCTTACTGCAAGGGTAAGAACAGAGCAATTGCACTTCGAAAGTCATACAGTACATAAATCACTCATTTGGACCTCTATAGAAATATCACCTCATTTACAAGAACACTGTGTGTTTTAGTCGCATGCCATTAATTGTTTCATAATACTACAGCTGATAAAAATAAATAAATATTAGTGATGCTTGCTTAAGGCATTAATGATACTTCAAATTGTGTGGCTTATTGAGGAGAGGCATGTTTTTTTTTCACTGAATAAAACCGATTTACATTGGAGGAGGGACCTGAGCTGTTGAAATCACCCTGAACACAACCACCACAACACCTAATCAGACTTCTCAGAACACTATAGCAACAAACCAGAACACCCTATCAACAATCCAGGAGCACCTTAGTAACTGCCTAGCAACCTCTTAAAATATAGTAGCAATGGCATAGATTATAAAATTCTGAGAAAGTTGCATGAGAAAATTGTCAAGGATATATATATATACATAGTATATAATGTGTGTGTGTTTAATGTTAATATTACTATGACGTAATGGATCTGTTTTTGTGTGTCTGTTTTCTATAGTAATAGACTGTGGATCTCCTCCATCAGTCCTCCACGCTGCGCAGCTCTCCCCCACGATCACACACTACAACAGTGAACTCCAGTACGGCTGCAGGGAGGGATTTCAGTGGAAGAGAGGACAGAATTCCTCAGTCTGTGGTCTGGATGGAAAATGGCATGGACCCAGTCTGGTCTGTGAAGGTAATATTTACGTTTGAGCAAATCAGTCTGCCAGATCTTGAATTAAGGGTAATGCATGAAAGTCAACATGAAATTATGTTCATCACTCATTTTGTTTCCATAATGTAACATTTAAACACACACACACATAAAAATGCAGGTTGGGATTTTAACCCTTTTGATTCGACACAGGCTTTTGCAAATTTATTGCATATTTTTACTGACACAATATAATCAATTTTTACATAGAAGTGGACTGTGGGGAGCCTCATGTTTTTCCTCAGTCAAAAACGGTTTGGAATAACATCTCACGCATGGGATCATTGGCGCTGTATGTGTGTGACCCACATTTTTATAACAGTGGGCGTGAGAATGTATCAGTATGTACTGCTCATGGGACATGGAGCCATCCTGACTTCCAGTGCGAAGGTATCTACTTCTGTTTATTATGCGCACAGAAACATGACACTGAATCTCAAGCAAAGAATCTGTTGAGTTTGTGTTTGTGTGTGTTTAGAGATTCAGTGCGGTTCTCCTCCAGTCCTGCCTCACTCAGTGTTATTCTGGAACGGTGTCAGTAAGCTTGGTTCTGTGGCTCTGTATAGCTGTGATGTTGGATATCGCAGTTTGGATACAGGAAATGTGTCTGTGTGTGAAAGTGATGGTCAGTGGAGTAACCCAGACTATTCTTGTGAAGGTACAGAGAATCTTGTCACATTTTTTAATGTCTGAAGAAAGTTTTAAAGGAATAGTTCGCCAAAAAAATGAAAATGCTGTTATCTTTTTATTTACCTTGGTGCCATTCCAAACCTGTGCGAGTTTCTTTCTTCCCTACACTCTTAAAAATAAAGGTTTCAAAAGAGGGTTTTCACAACGATGCCACAGAAGAACGTTTTTTGGTTCCCCAAAGAACCTTTCAGTGAACAGTTCTTAAAAGAAAAAAATTTTCTTAATGTAAATAATATTTTAATCATCTAAACAACATTTTTTCCACCATAAAGAACCTTTTGTCCAATAGTAAGGTTCAATGGATGTTAAAGGTTCAAAGTATCCTCACTGTTCTTGTCCGTACAATGAAAGTGAATGGCTGTCAAGCTAAAAAAAAAGGACAAAAAGCACTAAACAATTATCAAAAAAGTTAAGTTATACAAGTTATCAAAAAAAATATCAAAAGTAGTTCTAAAAACTCTATTTGCTATATTCCAAATCTTCTGAAGACATATTATGTTCTTCGTGTACAATTCTGCATATTCAAACTTGGCTACAAGACATACAAACACCAATGTAATTTGTTAACAAGTCTCACCTGCTGTGACTTTTATGCTTCTTTTTTGGGTTTTTGCAGATTGACAGTAAAAATCCCCATTCTCTTTTATGTATGGAAAAGAGCAGCTCTGCTTTTTTGCTCCACGGAAGATAGAAAGCCATACAATTTTGAAAAGGCATTCTGAATAAATGATGACACAGTGTTGATGCACAATATAATATTGTGCATAGGAGCGTCTGCGAATCTTTCACACAAAAATTGTTGTGTCTCTTGCTTTTGTGATATTCGGTCTTACTTAAAATCAACTTAAAATACTGTATTGAACATGCAAGAACTTACAATTTGACCTTTGGCAGTAAGGGCCCAACTAACAGACTGCTAATTTTTTTTGCTCAAAGCATGGAGACTTATAATTACATAAATATTTGTTATTCAGAATTAATAGGTGTTTTAGCTCTTTTTGATTATATTTTGTTGTAAAAGTTGTGTTTAAAGTCACCATTAGAGTGACCGTGTTTTTGAACTTCCAGAGGACGTTTGCTTAACAAACTGATACACAAATTAGGCAAACCAATCAAGTTCTACATCATCATTATGTAATGTTAATGCTTAGCTTAACTTAAAATGCAAACCTTAAATCCACAAATAAAAGCATTATTATTTTGGAGTTTGTAGAACATATTATATTATGTTTAATAAAAACAGAATAAAGAAACTTTAATTCTTAAGTTGATGCCAAAAAAAAGAAATCAGTTACTGCCTTAAATTTTTAAGTATAATTGAATTGGCTGTACAAGTCATTTCAACTTAGATTATATTAAACTGACTTAAAAAATCGAGTTAAATCTCATTTCTTGTTGACATGTTTTCTCTCTTTATTTCTTGAATGGGTCATTCTCACGAAACTGCCATTTATTTAGTTCAATTTTGATTCAATTTAATTCAATATTATGTTAAAATGAATGTTAAAAGCTCTTTAGTTATGAAACAAACTAAGTTCTACTATAAAGCAACTCTACAGAAGATAATAGTGTGATTATTCAGCTCAAGTCAGTTAAGTTTTTTTTTAATGCTTCATGCATTTTCAGAAAAAAATGCTGATTTTGTCCCATCATGCTTGCTTATAAAATTATAGGTGTATCCTTTCTGACAAAGGAATAGTTCACGCAATAATTAAAATTTGCTGAAAACGTACTCACCTGCAGGTCATCCAAGATGTAGAGGAGTTTGTTTCTTTATCTGAACAGATTTGGAGAAATACAGCATTACAGCACTCACCAACGGAATCCTCTGCAGTGAATGGGTGCCGTCAGGATGAGCATCCAAACAGCTGATAAAAACTTGACAATAATCCTCAAGTAATCCACACCACTCCAGTCCATCAGTTAATGTCTGGTGAAATAAAAGCTGCATGTTTGAAATAAACAAATCTATCATTAAGATGTTAGCTTTAAACCATCACTTTCTAGGCAAAATTCAAGTTCATAAACCATAATAATGCTTCCTGCAGTGAAAAAGTCCATCCCCTGTTGTCCACATTAAAATCCACCAACGTATTGGTTTTGGATTGTTGTGGCTTGTAAACGGTCCCTGATCTGTGCATATTTCTCTCTTGATTCAGATGACTTTTTCCACTGGAGAAAGCAATATTATGGATTATGGAAGTAACAGTTTGTAGTTAAAAACTTCTCCATGATTACACGCAGCTTTTTGCTTCACAAGATATTAACTGACGCTACATTTCTCTAAATCTGTTCAGATGAAGAAACAAACTCATCTAAATCTTGGATGGCTTGAGGGTGAGCACATTTTCAGCAAATTTTTATTTTTAGGTGAACTACTCCTTTTTAGGTAGATTGACCATTTCCTGAGAATGACCCATTTGATATTTCAGCGCTGTTCTCTTTAATAAGCTGATATGTATGCTCATATACAGTGTGTCTGTATGTGTGTTTGTTTAGAAGTAGACTGTGGCATCCCCATCTCACTACCTCACTCAGTTGTGTTGTGGAATAACAGCTCCTGTCTGGGCTCTGTGGCCCTTTATGTGTGTGAAGCTGGATTTCGTACTGTGGGTGAAGGAAATGTGTCATTGTGTAACTCAGACGCAAAGTGGAGCAAAGTTAACATGAGATGTGAAGGTACTGACAACATTCTGTCATTGTTTACTCACCTTCGTGTCATTCAAAACGTATGACTTTTTTTCTTTTTCGTGGAACAACATTTAAGCTGTTTTACACTTTACGGTCATCATACGTATTTCAGTTGGAAATGTACAGCATTTTTGCAGTGGTCTTTATTTCTAACGCTTAACACTGGTCCCATTGAACAGAGATAAACTGTGGGCCTCCCCCAGAATTCCCACTAACAGATATAAACTGGAACAAAGCATCTACGCTGGGCAGTGTGGTTCAGTACAACTGTAAATATGGACTCAAACAGGAGAGTGGCAAAAACATGACAACATGTACATCAGATGGAACATGGGAAAAAGTGTCTGTAACATGTACAGGTAAACTGAACTGAATTCCGATTATAATGACGTTCACTATGTTTAAAAGGCTGAGGTCAGTAATGTTTCAATGTTTTTTTTTTTAAAGAAATTAATACTTTTATTAGTTTTTTTTTAATGCTTCATGCATTTTCAGAAAAAAATGCTGATTTTGTCCCATCATGCTTGCTTATAAAATTATAGGTGTATCCTTTCTGACAAAGGAATAGTTCACGCAATAATTAAAATTTGCTGAAAACGTACTCACCTGCAGGTCATCCAAGATGTAGAGGAGTTTGTTTCTTTATCTGAACAGATTTGGAGAAATACAGCATTACAGCACTTGCCAAACAGGAGAGTGGCAAAAACATGACAACATGTACATCAGATGGAACATGGGAAAAAGTGTCTGTAACATGTACAGGTAAACTGAACTGAATTCCGATTATAATGACGTTCACTATGTTTAAAAGGCTGAGGTCAGTAATGTTTCAATGTTTTTTTTTTTAAAGAAATTAATACTTTTATTCAGCAAGGATGCATTAAACTGATCAAAAGTGGCAAAAGTCATTAATAATGTTACAAAAGTTTTCTCTTTCAAATAAATGCTGTTCTTTTAAATTTTCTATTAATCAAAGAATACAAAAAAAAAAGTATCACTGTTTCCACAAAAATATGAAGCAGCATGACTCTTTTCAACATTGATAATAAGAAATGTTTCTTGAGCAGCAAATCAGAATGATTTCTGAAGGATCATGTGACACTGAAGACTGGAGTAATGATGAAATGCAGTTTATATTTATACTTTTTCTTTTCTATTAATTACCATCTCTTTTGGCCAAAAGAGTGGTTTTACACTTTTTCCCATTTTTGCTGTTTCCTGAATTGATTTAGTGTTTCATTTTACCCGAAGAGCCACGAAATAACCAAGAATAAATTTTGAATATAGAATGTTGTGGAAAATTGCTTTTTTTACCATAGTTTGACAACATGTGCTACATGAACTTTTAAATTAATATAAACTTTCTATATTAATGTTATTTATTTTTTATAGTTAAGATGATAAGGTATATGCACATGTGTAAACAGACTGTCAGAAATAACCCTGCAGCAAAACAATGTGAAAATTAATTACAATTAGAATTAAAATTAGAATAACAGAACAAATTCAAGTCCTTATATTTTGTAACAAATGTTCTATATTTAGATCCACAAATTTCAGAACCATTTCTGTCATTGTTTTTTTTCCCTCTCTCTATAGCACATTGTGGCTCTGCACCAGAGGTGCCACATGCAGAGGTAGCATGGGACAACAGCACTGCAGTGATCCACCGCTGTGTTAAAGGACACTACAGACACACAGGAAGTGACATTTCAATATGTGACATCACTGGAAAGTGGCAGATAGCCACCCTGAATTGCAAAGGTACACATCCGCACTGCTCAGCACAAAGGGAAAGTGGACCATAGTCTCAGAAATGTGACTGTCGGCATAAAGTCTGATCTAATTTGTATCTAACTTTGTGTGTTACAGAGTTGAAACTGACAGTTAACAATCTGGTGGTGATTAATGAAAGATGCCTACGCTGGAATGCAGAGAATGAGGGTTATAGGGAGAAATACACAGTGAGTGTTAAAGGGGTCATATGATGCGATTTCAATTTTTCCTTTCTCTTTGGAGTGTTACAAGCTCTTGGTGCATAAAGAAGATCTGTAAAGTTGCAAAGACTAAAGTCTCAAATCCAAAGAGATATTCTTTATAAAAGTTAAGAGTCAACCACACCTACCTAAAACGCCTCGTTCTAACACGCCCCAACATGTCTACGTCACTATGTGGAAATATTAGCATAATGCCGCCCAAATGTGCACGCAAAGAAAGAAGGTATGGTTTCAGGAACAGCAGTACTGTTGATGCAGCCATGTCAGGGAGATGCTGTGTATTTCAGTGTGAAAGCAAAAGCACTTTATTTGGCCTTCCAGAAGTAGATGCACTTAGGAATCATTGGTTAAGATTTATTTACAACAGAACAGCACAACCCAGATGTTCGAATTTGTGCAACGCATTTTATGGACGACAGTTTTTTGAACCTAGAAGAGTACAAGGCTGGCTGTGCACAAAGGCTATTAAAAAAAAAAAGGGTCAATTCCGACTGCTATGACAATCTGGCGGAGTTTTGCGCAGCGCAGAGTAACGCGTCGTGTGTGTGTGTGTGAGGGGAACAGGGTCACATCACAGGAGAGTGAACTGCCTGTCAGAAATCATAGCACGTCAGCTGTCTTAACCGCAGCTTGTGTACTGCATCATCACGGTGTCTGTCACGCGACTCTGTTGCGCTTTCGGGCTTGAACTGATGGTAAAACTAACGACATTATTAACTGTCTTGATATTTACTTTGAAAGCTGACGCTCGCGATTATGGTAAGGGGCGTTACATTTCCGACGCGCGCTTGTGGTGTTCGGCCAATCACAATGCACTGGGTCAGCTGGCCAATCAGAGCAGACTGCGCTTGTCAAAGGAGGGGGCTTTGTTGAAAACGACGTGTTTGAGAGAGGCGGTGCATATAGGACCTACAATAATGTACAGTATTTGAAAAATAATGTGTTTTTTGAACATTAAAGCATGTCAACATATTCTGTTACTCCAAATAAAATAGCATCATATGACCCCTTTAAAGAAATTAAGCTATGTCTTTGCACGAGTTGTCTTCTTAAATCATAAATGAGGTTGTATGTAACATCTCAACACAGGTGACATTTGTTGGATTGCGAGACTTCGAGCAGCTGTTCAGTGACCGGAGAAAAAAGATCTTTAGCTCCTCGGCCCTGTGGCCTGTTCTCTGTTTGAATCTCTTGCCTGCCACAAACTACACCATAACCATTACAGCAGAGTCCACACAAGCCACGTCTACAGTTACAGCAAACACTAGCATACCAGGTACAAAACAAACGCTGCTTTCATGCAAACATCCATAATCATAAACATTTAAAGTCCAGATGACATGGCATCTGCAATTCAATTTTACTTGTGTAATGTAACATTTCTGAGCAAAACGGGAGATTCAGTGAAAAACATTCAGAGCAGGTCAAGTTTATTAAGATATAATGCTTTTTTAGTATATATTGTTGTTTGCTATTATTGCATTACTGCAATGTTTTTTAGAAAAGTTGCATTACTTGCAACAGCTGCCTAAGGAAATGCCTTAACAGCTATTTAAACTGACCAATAGTTTGTACAGACCAGTGTTATTTTAGTAGTTTAGCAGTTTTTTTAATTGTCATTTGTATTGATTTTTACATTTTATTTTATTATTTTTTTTAACATGCCTATATTTTATCTCAGTTATTTCATTTTTTGTTTTTTTTAATTACTTTATTTTATTCCTTAGTTCATGTTGACTATAAGGTTTCTTGTGTTCTGTTAGTCCCCCCCACACCAGAAATCAAATACAGTGAAGTAGAAGCTTCATCGCTCACTCTCAAATTACGGAGATCGACCAACACACTTGACTCAATATGGTAAGGACGTTTAACATCGCTTTACATAAACAGTTAATGCCATCTGAGCATCTGAGGTTCAAACGTCTGAAACCAGACTGAAAATGCTTGTATTTTGCATACTTTTCTAAATTTAATACGAATGTTTTAATTACAATTATTTTATCAGCATAGCAATTTTTGAAAATGTGCACTGAAAAATGTACTTGAATTTGAGGATGTCTTTGTGTCTCCTTTGCTTTCATGACAGCTGACAGGAACAAAATCTGATGAACTTCAGATCTGAACTTTTGTGCAAAGGAGTTTAGATGCTCAATGTCAGAAATTTGCTGGAAATAGTACAGTCTCAAATATGAATATAATAATATAATATAATAAGCTTAAAGCGACGGTCCACCCAAAAATGAAAATTGTTATCATAAAAGCAGGTATTTTGAAGAATGTTGATAACCAAACAGTTTCAGGTCCCACTGACTTCTGTTTTCTTTTGTCCATATAATGGAAGTCAATGGGAACCAAAACGTTTCAGTTTCCAACATTCTTCAAAATATCTGTTTTTATGTTCCACAGAAGAAAGAAGGTCATACAGGTTTGGAACAACATGAGGGTGAATAAATGATAAGAGATCCCTTTAAATATAAAATAAAAAAACAAAAATTGCAAATAAATTCCTAAAGCTGTTTATTTACAGGTTTTAAAAAACTCTATACGTGCTCCCCACTGCATATGCCGAATATATCAGCTATTGTAGATAATTCTGTATTCAGTTGCTGTGAATGATTTGTTTGTGTGTGTCTGTGTGTTCAGCATGTTTCAGGTGTTTGTGATACCAGTCGAGGGTGTGATGCTGTTTGACTGCAGCTCGTCTGTAAGTCCGCGGTTCCTCGCGCAGCAGAGATGTGACAGAGGCTACGTCACGGCCCAGATACAGCTCAGCGGTCTGGCCGCAGAAATCAACTTCACTGTAGGAGATCAGCAGCAGTATGGAGACTTCTTCAACGCACCTCTGGAAAATGGAAAAGACTATTATATTATCCTCCGCACTGTGTGTCAGTGGGGAAAGGTGGGTAGATGTCTTTAAAAGAGTGTCTGTAAAATGAGTGCATTTAATACTTTTTTTGATTGGTTCTCTAATTTCTCTCTCTTTGTTTTCTTTGGTAGCCTAGAACACAGTCCTGCGTGATCTGGGCTAAAGCCAGAGGTAAAGGTCATAAATAAACACTGCTTTGTGACACCTACAAATTCTGTGTAAAACATGTGAAGTGGTTCCTTTTCTCTTCTCACTTTAGGAACATCCTACATCATGAAGATATCTGCTCTTGTAACTGTTGGATCCATAAGTGCTGTTGGCTCAGTCATTGTCATGGGATACTGGTACAGCTGGTGAGATTGCGGTGTTGTATTTTTATTAATTAACAGGATGAAAATGTTGTGCCTCATATTTCTTGTAAGCACTGTCAAATTACTTTCTCTGTTTTTTTTTACAGGTACTGTAAAAAGTCCAGTCCCAGATTTTTTTCTGCAGCAATATAAACCATCTTAACATGTTATACTGATTCCTTGAAATAAAGGCGATGTGTTTGTAAAACTGAGGAGTCAAGTTGTGTCGTCAGTCAAAAACATCCTGCAATATATTACTGAATTTCGGACTATATTTTATTATAATGAAAACAACTAAAACACTAGAGGAAAAATTGTGAGGTACAAATAGCCTAAGTTAAGAAAAATAAAAAATGAAAATATAGCAGCAAACAGCATTCATCATGGTTCTCAGTGTCTAATATTGAACTATTAAATTTTGTCCAGACTGTTCATCCATTGCTTTTCATAGTGTTGATAAGGATGGATCACCTAGTTAGCAATGAGGATTTTTAAAAACATAAATCTGTCCTTTAGATGGCAGTGCACTACCACTGTTCATCAGTATGACAATGAAATGGTGTCTCTTAAATAAGAGTAATTGCTTTTAATTGCTAAAAACAAAGAAAAAATGGATAGGCCTGCCTGCCCGGTAACACTTTATTTTGATAGTCCACTTTAGACATTCAGCTACCTATAAATAACTTTGCAACTACATGTCAACTAGCAGTCATTAGAGTATTAGTAGACTGTCTGCTTAATATCTACTAACATTTTATTTTGATGGTTGCTCAACAGACGTTCTGCTGACTGTAAGTAACTTTGCAAGTACAGCAACTTATTCTACTAACCCTAACCTAACAGTCTACAAATGCTCTAATGAGAGTTAGTTGACATGTAGTTGCAAAGTTACTTGCAGTTAGTAGAATGTCTAAAGTGGACTATCAAAATAAAGTGCAACCGCCTGCCCTTTACTTGGTACAGCATGCCACTACAATGGTGGTTCACAAACACAGCACTTCATTAGAGACAGGCTGCTGCATACTGCTTTTCATGACACCACATTTTTATAAAAATATAAAATTTGATTTCACCACAGTAACTAATTATCATAATAAATGTATACTGTATGTAGTCTTATTAATATGGAATGGCTTAAGAATGCTTCATGATTTTTTTTGACACATTAACTTTGCTCTATGTGATGGTGGTGGTTAATAGTGTTGTATTACTGAGATACTTCTATATTTTAAATTAATTTTTATTTTTATATTTACAGTTTTTTTTTATTTTGGTTAAAGTTTTAGTAATTTTGTTGGGTGTTTTCGTCATTTTTTTTGTATATAGGTTATATTTATTTTTATTTCAGTTTTAGTTAATTTACTACATCAAGTTCAACTAAATGAAAATGAGAAATGCTGCCATGTCTACTAGCTGATGTAAAAAAAGTTTTTTATTTTTTATTTTATTTCAGTTAAAGTTCTGCACGTAACTAAAATAAAAAAAAATCATTAAATAAAATTAAAATGGCAGCTCAAATGATGAATCAAATGTTAAATGCATTTTAATTTTCCTCGTTTGATGAAGCATAAAGCATTACTATAAAGAAAATTAAATTCAATGTAATGTGGGGTTTGGGTTTTGTTTTTGTTTCATGTTCATGTCCATGTCTTTTATTTTGTAATTGTTTCCTGATGTTAGTGTCATGCTTCCCTTGCCTCATGTCTCTCTGCCTTGTGTATGTGTCATGTTCTGATTGGTTGTTTTAGTCATGTGTCTTGTTTCCCATTGGTTTGTTCTTGTCATGTGACCCTCTTGTTTCCTATAAGTAGCCATCATGTTGCCATTGTCTGTCGTCGTGTATTGATGTTGTAACTCTGCTGTTGGTGAGTCCTGTCCATGCCAAGTCAAGTCTGTTCATGTCAAGTCTCGGATTATCGTTTGGATCACTTGTAAATAAACTGCACTTGGGTTCTCACTTCAACTCGCCTTCAGTGGATTGATTCGTTACATTAAATTAGATTTTATTTTTTTTATTATCAGTCCAGTATAGGTATAAACATAAAAACAACAAAAATATGAATCCACTATAAATGGAGCTAAACTGAGCTAAACTCGCTGCACGTTAGAAAGCGTTTCGTGGGTGTGGCTTCAAAGCTTCAGGCTGTCAATCACCGAGAGAGCGCGCGTAGATTGCTGCTATAATGTCTCCCCTCAGATAATTTTACTAAAGATAAGTTAGTCACGATAAGTTAGCTGATCGATTTAACTCTATTAAACTATATCAATTAAATTAATTTAACTCCTCTATCGCTCGTCATTTCAATAGAACCGACATTTCATGATATATTCAGCGCGATCGCTTTAGTATCAAATTGACAGGCCACATCAAAACCAGTTTTGATAACAGTTTTAATATTTTATATAATTCCGTGCAAGTGAGGAAAAAATGTGCACTTTTTCTTGAAACTGCGCTTCTATTCACATGAAGATTATTCCACAGCAAGACATAGGGTGAATTAAGGGTGTTTGGAACAGTTTTTGAATTTCCAACATGGGCAAGGTTTCTTGTCATAAATGAAAAACATCAGTCGAAAACATGGTATATTTCTGTAATACTGAAGATGTTAACTACCCATTTGAGGAGGAAACAATGTTATATTATGATGAAAGGATGTGTGACGTACACTTTTCTGTAAACTGAGCCAAAAAAAATTTATTGGTAATATTTGGGTGATTGGGACAGCATATTTTTTCATTGATTTAGGGTAGTGTAAGAATATTTACTGTATTGCACAAGTTAGTTCATAGAGGGTACAAAAATATGAAGAAATGCTTTATAACGCTCACAAATTTTTGAATACTTTTATTTGTTTCAGGCCTCAGTCAGACGCAGACTGATCCGTTCCAGCTGGTCAGTAACATCTACCCTCACAATGGACACCTGCAGGACAAGACTTACCGAGTACCATGGAGTAAGTGTGCCATGTTTGTGTATTTAGTATCTAGATCAGGGGGTCAAACTCAATTCCTGGAGGGCCGGAGCCCTGCAGAGTTTTGTTCCAACCCTGCTCCAACACACATACCATGTAGTTTTCAAATAAGCCTGAAGGACTTGATTAGTTGGATCTGGGGCCTGTGATGGTGGCTGAACAAACTCGGAGTTACAGGATTAGTTTTGAGTTGACAAAACCAAACCAGTCCAATTCGGCTTTGTTGGTACCATGAAGCTCATCATCAGCTTTCTCTGTCAACTCAGGCTTGATCCTGAGTTAATGGAGCACGTGCACATGAAAGAGTGACATCAGTAATGAACAGCCAATCAGATGCCTTGAAACTGTGATTCACTTCTTGAGAGAAAGTCAGTGCGATTCATTACCAAAGATTAAAAGTTTGAACAATATGAAGAATTTAAACACATTTACAAGATGAAACGATCTATCCACGAAAAAGTAAAATGTAAAGATTACATCTTGCCATATACAGGTGCCATTGGTTTAAGGGTATAATAATTATATAAATCATATAAACTAATTATAAAAAATAATCATCTCTAAAAATCAGACAATTTCAGACAAAAATCAGAAAATGTTTTACTATGTAGCGTCCTTTAATTTGGAGTAAGAGAAACTGGGGGAGTGGCTTTATTGCGTCAGACAATATCTGGCAATCCTGAATTTATATCTTGCAATCCTGAGTCTATACCCCGCAATCCTGAGTTTATACCTCGCAATCCTGAGTTTATACCAGGACAGACAATTTTGTTGTATTTTTAAGGTACTTTATAGTTACCTTTAATTTGTAGGAAGAGAAACTGGGGGAGTGACTTTTTTTGCATCAGACATGTGTCACTTTGCTCACATCTGATTGGTCCAATTTCAGTTTGAGATCTCCTACCCAGAACATAACCTGCCCTGGAGCAGGTTAGCTGTGCAGTGTAAGTTACTATGTCAATGAACGCCGCTAAAAGCCAAGCCACATTCATGGTACCTAAAACCCAGGATTGGTGCAAGCTAAACTGAAACTTACCTGTCTAGCCAGATAAACCGGCTTCATGGTACAGGCTCCAGGTGTGTTTAATTAGGGTTGAAGCTAAACTCTGCAGGGCTCCGGCCCTCCAGGAATTGAGTTTGACACCCCTGATCTAGATAGTTCGCACTGAAATAAGAATTGTGGCCTAAAATACTCATAAAAAGATGATTTTCTTTTTTCTGTGGAACGCAAAAGGAGATGTTTTGTTCTTTTGGTGATTCACAAACAAAGATTTTTATTAAATATTAAATCGTTTACTTTCATTGTATGGAAAAGAGCAGCTTTGCTCGTAAAATATTGTACTGTAAGTATCTTTGTTGCTGTCTAAGCCCTGAAGACTTTTTGTGATATTCGAAGATCATAGCAACATTGACAGTGCCTGGATGTGTTACAGATGACTTGAAGGCCTGCACACATTTCAGTGACTGTTTGGAAAGGTTTGAAATGTTTCCTTAGATTATGATCCATCTTTGTTGCCTTTGTATTTGTGTCTGCAGATTAATTGTCCGTGATAGCTGGGTGTAAATGTCATGTTTAAATACAGGTTCTTCATATTGAGCTGTATTGTGTTTGTTTAATGTGTTGCAGACAGGAAGAGGACTAGAGGAAATGGTCCCCAGCTCTAACCCTGCCTCTCAGTGCAGTATCACTACTACAGAAGCCCTCTGGCTCTTAGATGGAGTTGAAAGCAGTGCCATCAGATCACCTTGGGAAGAGAGTTTTAGTCCTTGTGCACCAGATACATGCTCTGATGGTGGGAACTGGAATATTCATTCAGTATTATTTTGTTTGTCATTTCTGTATTCATATTGTACCACTTTATGGCAGTCCAGTGGTTTTTTGGCTGTGACGTTCTACCTCAAATAGGGGTAGATGTGTCCTAAAAATACCCAACACATCAGACGGCTTGCTTTCAAACAGATCTTTAATATGTTCTTGGACCTCAGAAGTCTTAATATTAACTTTTGATGGCCTCATAATGGAAAATCTAGATGATAATTTGTCATTGCCTTTTCTCCTAAATCTTAGATCTCACTCTGCCAGAGGAGGTGATATTCAGTGACCATCTACAGATGTACAAAAGCCACCTGCCTCCATTTCAAATGATGATTCAGAGGCTGAACATCATGATTGTCTCAGAGCCTGTTCTCAATTCATCAGTAAATCTCTTAGAAGAGGTTATTTTTAGGTACAAAATACAATATATTTATTTCAAGAACTGAATATATGTCTTTCAGAACTGTCAAAAACAGGCCTAAACATAACACAGGCCTGCATCTTGATAAAAAAATAATCGTGCAGTTTTTCACAAAATAATTAAAGATTTTTAAATGATATATATTTAAAAGCTTTAATGCACTTGTCAAAATAACAAAAACAGTCAAATGTTTTTAATGTCATAAATAAGTATTCAAAATGGGTAATTTAACTTACAATATCCAAATGAGTGGAAAATGTTGGAATACTCCATTTATTGGCAAAGAACTTTAAACAAGCTAATAAATAAGCTTTTTTTTCTGTAGTAGCTGTTTAGGTGTAGTAAAACAACCACACATGTAGCAGAAAACTTTGAAATCAGGATTAGGCATAAAAAGTCTTCAGAATCTTTCATTAATGTGAGAGTCAGCTGAAAATTGAACAAATTGTTGTAACCTGGCTCAGAGGAAGATAGAAATCATATCTTTGTGGCAGATTGTACTGTGCACTGTCATCTGATGCACTAAAATGATCATTTCAGCTCACCCGTATTTCCTTCTCATAGACACTGTGCCTCATACGATGCAGTTTTAGGCAAAGTAACAGGTGCCACGTTTACTTTAAAGGCTACAGAAGAGTTAAAAAAAGAGGCAGTACTGGACGAAGAGGTAATCTTCCAAACTGAGTCACGATAAAGTAAATATCTCTCTTGGTTGTGCTATTCGCAGCTTATGAAGAAGTTTTGTATATTTAAATACCAGCTATGATTTCTCAGCAGTCTCTGATGTTGCCTGTTGAAGTTCAAATGGATTGCTTTCCAAAACAAGAGCCCAATTATTCCTTTGCACAAATGCAAGATTTTCTAAACGTCACCTGTGAACCAATAGAAGAACATTTCCCTTTGAAAGATCTCAAAGAAGGTAAAACTTGACCTATACATAGCAAAAAATACACATTGCCTCCAAAAAGTATTTTGAAACTTAAAAATGTCTGAATGTCAGAGAATTAGATAACAAAATATCAAAGCAAAGGTGTTTATTTTTAAGAAGGAAGCACAAGTACACTGTCCAAGCAAATCATTTGACAAAAATACATTTGTTTTGGTTTTAAATGATAAAACAATTGATGCACTGTTCAAACGCCAATAACTGTCAATAAATGCCAATAAATAGCTCAAAAGTGCAAATACCAATTGCTTTTAAATTGTATTTAATGCAATTACAATCAGAAAGTGTGACTTGTTGTGCCATTATATTGCGTATAAAAGTCAATAATAATTATATTTCATTTATAGTCACCTCTGCTGATAAACACATGGCTGAGTTGGAGGTCCTGCAAATGCCTGAAAGCAGCTTTGCTAACATCACCTTCAAGGAGCCAAAATCTCCAGGTATGGGAAATTGCTGTTCATATTTAATCACAACAAAAGAGTGGTTCCTGCTGCAGATTGCTCTTCTAATCTCCAGTGACTTCAAAACCTTTCATTTCAGTTGCTTCAAGGTCTTATGCTGAGATGGAATTAGACCTGCCTCTTTCACCACATAATCATTCACTGTGTTTAGCAGACCTGCTTATGTCCAGCAGACAGCTGCCAGATGAGATAATGCCTCCAGTTTATAAGCAGCGAGTTTGCTGCTTTTGTTATAACAAGGACAGAAGGCTGTAAATATTTGGTAAATTAAATATGTTAAGGCATCTAGAACAGGCTTGTTTTCACTTGCAGTTTTGTTTTTATTCTTTGAATCAACATTAAATGGCATTCACAACCAATTCCATAATTTGACATATTTTCAAGGATATTCAATCAAATTATTTCTTTTGCGAATAATGTGCAGATAAATTGTTCACAATAAGACCTTATTAATGGTAGTGTACAGTAGAAGTACGGTGTGTTTTAACAACATACTGATTGTTTAGATTATATGTCTTTCCTGGGAAAAAAAAATACTTTCTGTAGACAAAAACTCCTCAAAACAGTTTTGAAAATTGTGAGCTGTGAAAATTATGTATCCAAGACCTTTATACAGCGTGTGCCTTTGTAAAAACTGTGAATCTATTTCTCACAGCCTCTTTTTCATCCGCGTTAAATTTCATGTTGACTGTAGGATCAATGAAAACACTACTCATAATAATAATACATATGACAAAGTAAATAATATGTACTGTACTTTTCCTAGGCATTTCATGTCAGACAGTGATTGTGAAAATTTGGAAAAAGCACTTTGGGTGGCTTGATTTTTGGCTCGATTTTTACTTGCTGGTAATGTGGATATGTAGATAATAACATGAGAAACTTAGCGTGCATCCATAAAAGTGTATATTTACAAGAAACATCTACACAAATGTATATTTTGGCCATTTTTGTCTTTAGTCAAGTATTGATGGCTGGACAAAGCTTTTTTTTATTGAGCCTTTAAACTCCATTGTGTTTTTTTTTTGTGTGTGCAGAACCACAGGCAGCTAAGCCATTGCTCCACATTCAGTCACTCCCAGAGCTTCTCACACTGCTGAAGGTGGAGCTGGAACAGGTTGTAGAACCCAAAGACAATATGGGCCAATTTCACTTCACCAACAGTACAGTGATGCTTCCTGAAAACATCTTCAGAAATCTCTCCATCTACACGGAGAAAATGTCCACAGAAGAATGTAAGAGAGGTGTGAGAGAGCCACACATGGATGAAATGTTCTCACCACTGTCTATTGTGAAAATAGATGGTAAGACAGTATGCGATATTTATCTCTTAAAAAAAATAAAAAAATAATAAAAAAAACCCTCAATCAATAAACTTGAACCTACACTTTTTCACACCACTGTATATATATATATATATATATATATATTAGTAAGTTCATGTTTTTACAGAGTTGCCGAGTAAGTGTGCTTCACATGCAGGTGAGCTTTTTAAGTTTCTCTAATAATTTCAGATACAACCTAAATATATATATTTCCAGTCATAATTGTTTGTTAAGATAAGGCAGACATTGCTGTTACTCATACTTGAGGTTTGAACAAACAAAAATGGAAAATCTAGCTAAAATGCTGTTGTGTCAATTGTTAACAATAAAGGAATAAGCAAAAGTATAAATTATTAAATTATATTATTATTTATATTATACTATATTAATTTAAACAATTATTATAAAACAATTATTTAAACTGCATGTATATCAAACTGCGTGTTTTCAGCGTAAAAATAAGGGTCGTTTTTGGCTTTGGACTAAAACAAAAAGCAGAAGGGCTTATTGAAAAATGCAAATTAATTCTCTCTTCATTCGTTCGCTTTTCGCCAGGAATATAGCCATTTCCCCGGTAACCGCAGTAAACAAAGCAGCGCAGCACCTGATTTTGCAACTTCCAGCGCTCATATTTAATCAATTAACCATAGCCTTTTGAAGTGTAAGCTATATCTCAATTTGCATATTAGTTTTTTTTCCCCGGAGCACCACCTGTCTTCTCCTCCCGTCCCATTTCTACCAGTGATCCTTTCCTTCCCGTGGTAGTCGTCACTGTTGTAAGTTGCCAAGTTGAGGGGACAAATGGGTTGAAATTTGTATGTGTCGATTGTGTGAGAAGGATGCGTTTCATACAAGATCTGGCAACTGGGCAACCTTGGAATTTGTTGACGTGATTATTCATATAATGAGGTTTGGGCCATACAAATTACGGAGGTTTTACCAGAGGCGAATGTAGGAAACATAAAATACGCACAGTGGGATTTTTTTATAGAAAGATTCAAAATACAGGAGAAATACGGGAAAATATTTAAACAGGATGATAGCGGGATAGAATGGTAAAATACGGGAGAACCCGCAGGAAAAACGGGAGGGTTGACAGGTATGCTATACACACACTTCCTAAGCAGTCAGAACAGAGAAGAAAAGATATGATCTCTAAATCATCTCCGTTATCAAACTATCTGAGAAGCAGAAAGAGAGATAATTCTGTAGTTCAGACTCATGAAGACCTGGATCCTTTATCATCTTTTGTGACATTAAGAACAATGCATTAATGTCCAATGCAAAAACCTCAACGGAGCAGTCCAACATCTGCAGGTAAAGGTGAATCCAGGACTTTTATTAAAAGTGTTTATTGCAGCTTTTCTTCCTTGTTATTACACATATCCAAGTGAAATCTTCTGAGAGAAAAAAAAGTATGCCGGCACTTGATTTTGACTATTGGGAATTCATTGGATTTCATGTTATTTTAAAGTTAAAGGGTTGGATTATAGATTTTTTTGTATTGTTTTGTACACATATCTAGGAGCTGCAGAATGTTTCGAGGACCTTCATGACATCTTTTATTGTTAGTTATACACAAACTGAAACATAAGTATCTTATTCTGTCTAATAGTTTAATATCTTTCAGAGGTAAACGTGAGTCAGAATTCTACAGGAAAAGTCTGGCCAAAGAACAAAATAAACAGTGAATCACATCTCAGAAACACAAAGCAGTGTCATTGCCACTGAGACAAGCTTTCCCCGTGAAGAGAAAAAAGAGACCATCAGCAAGACTGTAAACGTCCAGGCCACAGGGACCAGTAGTGCTGTCAGATCTGAAATATTGCATAAAGGTTAATGTTGTAAGCACAAAATATATGTTTTTTGTTTATTCATAATCATTTATTTGTTTGGCTTGAGAAATTAATCACTGTATTTCTATGTTTATTCCTGTAGAGAGTCAGAGAGACGCATATAGGGTGCTGCATGTATTAGCTCTGTCCTCTCAGTAAAATGCAGGAGCTGGGCATCTCAGCTTTAAACAACAGAGACTTCGGTACTCTGTCTTCTGAACTCACAAGATTCCTCGTTAAGCAGCAAGAGAGAATGCTGCTTAACGAGGAGACACCTTCTCACACATTATAAGAATGCACAGAACAATGTGAAATAGACAATGATCGCTACATGATGTTTTTTGAAGTCATGTAAAAAATGTTTTGTGTTATTTTTGTGGCAGATGGGGACAGTGTGTTTAATGAGATGGCACTGCTACATATTCTGGTCACGCTGAAGGAGCTTGTTCTTCTCACATGTGATCTCAACACAGCCACTGGTAAATATTTGAGAAAAAAACACTCATGTCTCATAGAAATGGTCTGATATTGCTGAGAGGAAATTTGCCCTATGAAATTTCTATTATTTTTCCCTAAATTCTGTTTTTTTTTCTGCATTCCGTTTTTTGTTTGTTTTGTTTAAATGGATTCTGTTTTAGTAGTTAAATAAAAATGTAGTAATCGAAACACGTGTCTAATCAATTGAGTTCATGAAACTGTTTAGAATTTCTTGGCCCAATAGGGCCCTATGAAATGTTCTGTTATGAAAAGTTCTGCGTTGTCTTATGATTTTTCTGGATTTAATGATTCAATACAAATTCATGATTAAAAACAGTGTTAATCAAATGAAGGCATAAAACATTATCAGTTGAATCTTTTAAAATGTCATCAAATTAATTGGCAAACAAAGTACTGCACAACAGATGATTACTGTTCAAATTGAAACATGAATGAAAAATTGTGTAATATTCCTTAAAGGGGTCATATGATGCGATTTCAATTTTTCCTTTCAATCCATAATTATGTCCCCACTGGATGCAACGAATGCCTCGTTTATAATGGGTTTTCATGTTTTTGAATCATCGCTCCTGCCGGGCAGGGCATCATCACAATATGGTAAGGGGCGTCCGTCACACGCTTGAGGTATTCAGCCAATCACAACGCACTGGATAGCTGGCCAATCACAGCACACCTCGCTTTTTTAGAACGATGAGCTTCGTAAAAATCTACGCGTTTCAGAAAGGCAGGGAATAGAGGAGAAACAATAATGTACAGTATGTGGAAAATAATGTGTTTTTTAACCGTAAACCGCATAAACACATTTCATTACACCAAATAAACAAAATAATGTTCTTTTTAGCAGCATCATATGACCCCTTTAAAAGTTTTAGTAATTGTATTATTGTACTTTCTACCCCACCTTTGATTTATTAATCTAAAAATATGCCAAATTCTGTGACATTGCTGTCTGGCATAAACAGTTGAGATCTCATTTGTGTTTTGATCATTATAGCACAGCTTTAATATAGCTTTTCTCACACACCTGTAAAATCTGTCTTTGTATAGATTACCTGGCAAAGGCAAAGGATTCCTGTGCTCTGAGCTGTGTGGATGAGCTGTTGAGAAAGTTTGAGGTGCTGCAGTATCTGAGCCAGACGAGGCAGGAGCCCAATCCTAAACTACTGGAGCTCCAGGAGCAAATCAACACATGGATGAATTCCCACACTAACCCTAAAGTGAGATTTATAGAGTTTAAACTAAAATGATCACACAGCTCTATGTAAAGTTGAACTTTTTTCAATATATTTCCATATATACAGTACACTCACATAAACCATTATATACTAAATAGCTCTCAATGTAAAATACATAATCGCCTATGTTATCGACTATAAGATGTTATAAACATTAACCTCATGATTGTCTGTAAAGCTAAAAAAATGTGTATTGTAAAAAGCACTATAGAAATAAAATTGACTTGACTAAGCATACTTTTCAAACAAAGTACATTTCAAAGAATGTGAATGTTTATTGACTGTTGTTGAAGCAGGTTCTAGTTTTGACAGTGAACTGTGTAAACACAGAGTTGCGTGCAGCTCTCAACCACACTCTTAAAAATAAAGGTGCTTCAAAAGGTTCTTCAAGCGATGCCATAGAAGAACCATTTTTGGTTCCACAAAGAACCATCTCTTTCTTACCTTTTTGTAATCTGAAGAACCTTTTTTCACCACATAGAACCTTTTGTGAAACAGAAAGGTTCTTCAGATGTTAAAGGTTCTTTATGGAGCCATTTAGACAAAAAGGTTCTTCTATGGCATCGTGAAGCACCTTTATTTTTAAGAGTGCAGGTACCAGGTGAGTAAATTTTTAAAGAAGCGTCCAGATTTTATAAGATTGGTACTTTATGTTGATTGTCCTGCCTGATTCTGTGTGTGCATGTGTTTAGGTAACTCTGTGTCTGAAGTCGTCCCCGATGAAGCAAAGAGTAAAGTTGTGAGCAGAGAAGTAATGGACAGGTGTATAGGTCTTTTTTATACAGAATACATGAGGTCTGGTTATAATGTCTGATTTAATGTGTTATGTCTCTCCTCAGACTCTCCTGCAGTAGGTGTCTCGTCGTGTGAAGTCAGCACGTTGGTCCTGACTTCCCGTGGCAGAAGTTCAGCGTGGTGTTTGAGCTTCACTCTGTGGGTCACTCACCCTTCAGCAGTGTGTGTTCAGAGAGAAACGTCAACTTTATCTCCTTCTCCACTGCAGTGCCTGAATTCAGTCAGTCCAACAATCCTTATGCTCACATGATGTTGATGTTTAACGCACAATTATGTGGAACAGGATTCTGGATCAATGAGATTTCAGTGTTCTCAGCTTGACACTGCAGAAATAGAATCCAAGTGTAAAATGGTAAAATGTCATTTTGCTTGTTATGGCTGTTTGAACAAAAAAATAGCATGCAAGATATATTGTTCATGTATTTTAATAGCATTCAAACACAATGTTAAACATTTGAGTGCAGTTGCAAGTACATACTAATTAAAAAATTAGGATGGTTGATTCAGTAATAATCTTGCTTACTTTACAGTTTTGCCTTATATCGCATTTTTATCTGTTGGTCATTTGAATTATTCATTGGCAGATTTCCCAGAAGAATCTACTGCTGCATCATATCTGGACACTATTCCGTTTGTGTTGCTCGTCACAAAGTATGAAGGTAGAATGACGTCAAAAAGATTTGCATACGCAGGGTAAGAGTTGTGGAAGTGTACATAAGACTGTAAGCGTAAATTAAATTTGCATGCGCAAGATAAGCTTTGTAAAGGTGTAAATCGCGTTTCAAGCGCAAGAAAAAAATATTTGCAGCATTTTACTGTTACTCGTAAGTGTAATTCATGTATTGTGAAACTGCAGCTTCATGCTAACGCAAAATAAATATGATCTGCATGCTTCTGACTTCCATTTTTCCGCGCTTACACTTTTGGCACGTTTTATTCGCCAAAAGTCGGTCAAAAGCACTGCAAGACTGTGAACAGTGATTTGCAAGCGAAAACAACAGTTTAAAGAACTGCAAAACGGATTGACTGCATAGAACCAATCTGTATGTGTAAAAAAACTAACTGTTGCAAATGTCTAAATGACTTGTT